GGTGTGGTACGTGGCCATTTTTTCCGCGATTCGTCATATGCAGTTGCATTACTTGTTAACCTGCCTGGGGACCACTGGCTATTTATTAACAAAATATGTAAGAACAATTTTATCATTTACCTGCGGGTGCCTGGTGGTCAACTAGGTATCGGTTAAAAAATAACAAATTTTACGAACGTTCGGTTAAACGTTAAAATATTACAGAATCTCGACTGTAGCTGAACACACTCGGACACAAATTGTATGAATTAAAAAACATATGGATAAGATCGGTTATAGATACTACGCGTGACGATCTGACGTTAGTGTTAAGTAGCGACTAGCGACCGCCACGACTGACTGTTAGAGATATTTACTATTTAGACATACCATATACCTTATCTTTAATCATGGTAGTCAACAGCCAAATGTCTAAAACAAAATACATTAAATGCACAATGTAGCCATGTAAGACTGTAATCATTACAGGAAAATCGTGACATACATACTATATGGGTGCGTTAGTCAAAGGAAAACGGCGTCAAGCCATCAAATGTTCTTATCAAATTAAACAAAAACCGGCTAACCGATGCAAGTGCTTGCAGCGGATCCTGTGGTGTACTATTAACTTTCTTTTATCTTTTATAGCAAACACCTTTTGAACTTTGATTATATATTTAGGACATTTAGGTATACTTTAACATGACCAGGTAATGAATAATAAWTCATAATTTATATTTCATTCAAATTTAAAAAAATCAAAAAGAACGTACATTTATAGTAAAGTACGTATAATATATGGAACCAATTTTAACCGAGATCCTCCTACTCTTGTATACTATATGTTTTGGATCTGATCCAGATCATAAAGTCTTTGTAAGGAATAATAAATCAATTTTAATTCGAAAAACGTACATAATCCCTATTATACTATTACATGCTATAATAGTATAATTTGTAATACGTAACACTGCAATCGAACGACGCGCCCCTGGTGGCAGAATAACCTTGCGACTTTTGACGGGCCATATACCATATTTTGTTTACGGAGTTTAGGCTCCTCATCTCTTATCTTCATGACTTAAACATTCATATACATGGTTGTTGTGATTGTTATAGCAGAGAACAGACAGTTATTATATTATTTTAAATTGTGAGAATGACTGTAATCACCATTATTTATGCTTCATAAATAATATCTATAAATCATGTTAGTCTGCCGCTCTGCCGATATTGGACGCTAAAATAGCCACTTCCTACATTAATCAATTATATTCAATATGTCAACGAGAAGCCAAAACGCAATGAGCTTCTCCGAGGTAAATACTATTTTAAAATATTCATGGATTTTAATTTATTAATCACCTACAAATTGATAAATTTACGTTACAAATCTTGTTTTATTATACTTTAGGAAGTACAACGGCACTCTGTTCACACATTAGTTTTTAGATCACTCAAAAGGACTCATGATATGTTTTTATCATGTCAAGGGATGCTACCACCAATAGACGAAGAAGCGTAAGTTGATTTGTGCACTGTTTGTAATTAAACAATGTTATAAACATTTTTCAATGGTTGTGTTTAGGGAGAGGATAAAAAAACTTGTTAAAGCTCGAGATTGTTATGGTCTGGTTTTTGACAAAGTGGAACGTAATAAGATAAACATGAAGAAATCTCAACCAAATCATCCTAAATCAGAGAACCTTGATATCTATAAAGATAATCATCTCCCATTAGCCATAAGTAATTATACATTATTATTTTTTATTAATTATTATTCACTGTACCTAATTATTTTTTTTATTTTTAGCTGATAATCCCGAGAAAGTAAATAAAAATACAGAGACCAGTATGGTTTTATCGAGTCCAAGTACACAAAACATAGCTGCTGCTAATCGACTGATTAATCATATTATGCCAAAACCAAAATGGCATCCTCCATGGAAGTTATACCGAGTAATATCTGGACATTTGGGTTGGGTGCGTTGTGTTACTGTCGAACCTGGCAATGAATGGTTTGCTACTGGTGCTGCTGATCGAGTTATTAAAGTAATATTACAAAAAAAATCCATGATCTATTTGTATTTAATATGTTTTTTATAATTCTAGATTTGGGATTTAGCTACTGGAAAATTAAAACTTTCCTTAACTGGACACGTGAGTACTGTGCGAGGCTTACAAGTAAGTCCTAGACACCCTTATTTATTCAGTTGTGGTGAAGATAGGCAAGTGAAGTGTTGGGATTTGGAACATAATAAAGTAGTTCGACATTATCATGGACATTTGAGTGCTGTATATAGTCTTGCGTTACATCCAACAATTGATGTATTATTAACTGCTGGACGAGATTCAACTGCTCGAGTATGGGACATGCGTACGAAAGCTAATGTTCACACACTTACTGGACATACAAATACAGTTGCCAGTGTTGTTGCCCATGAATTTGAACCTCAAGTATGAGAGTTTAAATAATTTATTTACTTAACATTTAAAAAAATGCATTTTGATTTAATATTTTTGGCTTATACTTAGGTAATGACTGGATCTCATGACTGTACAATTAGGCTATGGGATTTAGCTGCTGGAAAGACTCGTGCAACTCTTACAAATCACAAAAAAAGTGTGAGATCACTAGTTTTACATCCAAAAGTGTAAGTTTCAAATATAATTTAATGTTTACAGAACCATAATGATTTACTTAGTTGTTTGTTGGTATATGATTTTAAGGTACATGTTTGCCAGTGCAAGTCCTGATAACATAAAACAATGGACATGTCCAGATGGTAAATTTATACAAAATCTTACTGGTCATAATGCTATAGTTAATTGTATGGCTGTAAATTCTGATGGGGTGTTGATGTCTGGAGCAAATAATGGATCAATGTATGCATGGGATTGGAGAACTGGTTATAATTTTCAGAGAATGCAGGTACGTAATTTGATATTTTATGCGCACTGTAAATTATTTTGACTGATTGTTTATACTAAAATATGTATAATTTAAAAAGGCTCCTGTACAACCTGGATCAATGGATAGTGAAGCCGGAGTATTTGCTATGGCATTTGATAACAGTGGTACAAGACTCATTACAGCGGAAGCTGATAAGACTATAAAACTTTACCGAGAGGACGATACTGCTGTAAGTATTTGCTATTAATCTTAAGGATCAATGATAAACTATTGGTTTTACTTTTTATAAATATCATTATCTTTTATTTTTTATGGAGTACTTTAATACTAAAACATTTATAAATTTATCACAATACATTTTGGTATGATATTTATGAAGTCCAATATACTTAACTAACAAATATTAATCTATTTCAATGATTAATAGTTCAATTTTTTTGTTATATATGTCATAATGTATGTTAACATTTTTAAAAATTCCAAAGTTTGAATAGGATGCAAGTTAAACCCATTTCAAAAAAGTATTTATTATTCAATTTTTCTTGAATGTTTCCAATTTATTAGACATCTAAATTTTTTTTATATATATTTTTTATGAAAATAATTAGTTGTTTCATCATTTTATAGTTAAAACTTATTTTAATATAATTAAAACATTTATTTATAACTCTAATTAAACTTTATATGTTTAAAAGTAATTATATTTTTGTATTTGTTTTAGACTGAAGAAAGTCATCCAATTAATTGGAAGCCTGATATAATCCGAAGAAGGAAATATTAATATTTTTGTAAACAATTATTGACACAAATAAATATATCGTTTTGATATTATTGCTGGCAAAAATATTTTGATTCTATTCCATTTAAAAATACAAAAGCAGGGGCAAACCTAGGTGGGGGTTTGGGAGGTTTGCTGATTCACAGTTTTTTCCTCAGTAAAATATGACCCCTCAACATGACAAACTACATAACATCATTTTTATTCAAAAATCAAAAAAAAAAAATAAAAATATGTACACTTATAATCATTATTAAACTAATATTAAATAGGGAATAAAAATTTATAAAATGTAAGACTCAGAAAGATTTCTTTAAAAATATATTAATATACTTTTAGAGTATATTATAATGTATACAAGGTGATTTTTTATGTAAGCTCACCCCGGATTATCCCATAAAAAGTACATTTATTCAAATTCCTATTAAAATTTTTAAGTAAACCATATTTTCAAATTTTTGATATTTTTTACATAACTTAAGGTTAGGTTAAGTATCATGTGGCGGTACCAACTTTTATTTTTCAATAGAGAACCCCCTTTTTTTACTGATAATTATCTAGCAGATAATTTAGCTATACATTTTGATGTATCTAAATCAAAATTCTAATGAGTAGTTTCTGATTTAGTAAAATGTTTAAGCAGGGATAATAATCCTTAAACATGGTTTTATAAAAATAAAAACTATATGTAAAGTTAGATAAAATGTTTAGCATACTCGGATTATTTTTAGGAATTATTTATTGGTATTAATAAATCAATTGTAATTTTTAATTTTTTCAAATCGTCTAAGATCCCTATCTACTTCACCCATTACCATAGACATTATCCTTGAGAGAACGCCACACCCGCATATGTTGTCTCCGTCTTACAAACGTATAACATAGCAAAATCTGTTTAGCGCGGGACAACTTTTCTACCTCAATATTTATAATAGAATTTTCAAAATTTCACAATGCTTAGGTAAGAACTTTAACTGTGTCATAGCGTCATTATTTTTTTGATAACACAAACCAATAATTTTAAGTAATTTAATGAAAAAATAAAAAATAAATGTATTTTCTTAAGCTTATAACWTTAATTATATTTATGTTATCAAAAAAATAACGACGCTACGACACAGATAAAGTTCTCACCTATGCGTTGTGGAATTTTGGTAATTCTACTATAAATACAAAGGGAGTAAAGTTGTCCCGCGCTAAACCGATTTTGCTATGTTACACGTTTGTAAGACGGAGACAACACATGTGGGTGTGGCGTCCTCTTAAGGAACAAAGTTATATAACTCAAAAACTACTAGTTTGAATTTTGATTTTAAGACATCAAAGTTATCGAAAAAAAAAATCTGCTTATTAATAAAAAATACTTAAGGTTCCTATTTGAAAAACTAAAGTTGGTAAAATTTTAAATGTACTTAACCAATTAGGTAGTTATGACTTATTTCATATAAATAATTGTATTGAATGTTGGTATCAAACTGTGATATAAATAAATGAATAGTTAATATTACTCTATTAAATAATTAAGGAATAACTTTATAATAAATATTAAATAGCTGGTTCAAGTTTCTAACGTTTCTACACAGTGGCCTCTTAAAAGTGATGCAGCCCCCAAGTGCTAAAATCCAGGGTACGTCACTGAAAAAAAGTAAGATTCATATTTCTCATCTTTTATAAAACCTATAATTAAATGTTTATGGGTTGCAATGAGTTATAACATTTTTAATTACAAGGGTCAAGTTATATGATGGAACTTTAATCAATTAAATATTCAAATATTATTATAATAAATTAGTTTCAACTTTGTTATACATTATTCAGAGGTGTTTGGATTTAAAATAGTTCTCAAGAACTCTCAATGAACTCTTTGTTGTAAAAATTTTGGTGAATATAAAATAATAATATTTAAAAAAATTAGTTTCCCTAGCATTTTCACTTTTCAGTTAATGACTACTGTACACAAAACTGACCACGATTATGCTTTAAAGATGTATGTACTCTCCACATGTTTATTTAGTCATGCTCTAAACGCGCATAGAATATAGTAGAATTTTACATAATTATATGAATAAAATTAAACAAAAAAGAATATATTAATTTAAAATTATAGCTTTTTAACACTTATTTTGTACCTATGGCTATCAGTCAATAATCTCATTAAATTATTGTTAAGAATCAGTTATAAAATAAATTTTACTTCTTAAGCAAAAAATTCAAAATACCCTAACTTAGATTATACTATCGATATTGATAATATTAATCAGCTTTAAAGTTTGAATGAAAATTAATGCAATAAAATCAAGGTTTATTATTATTATTTAACATCATAGACATAATACATAATGTACTGTAAATCTTTAGTTAAAGATGTAAAATAGTTTATAGATTTCACATTTCTCCATTGAAAAATACCAAAATAATATAAATCTTTCTATACTTAAAGCATGCTATATTTTGTTATTAACAATTTTTTAGGAGTAAAAAGCTCATTACATTTAACTAATTTTATGTGTTTTTTGAAAAAAATATTAATTCAGATGATCATAAGTCATGACTCATGACTATTGAAAATCTAAAATATACAAAGAAAACCAAGATAACTAAAAAATATGTCAACTTTTTTACAAAAGTTTTTAATCTAACTATCAAATAATAAGTCATATAATCAGTACTTATATTAAATACATTTATATTAGGTATATTATAGAGTGGATGGTGGGTCCGAGTGTACAATACATACAGTAATGTTTATTAAATGTATTTATGAGTATGAGACATTAGACAATAATCTTATACATACGAGACAATTTATTATAAAACTTTATAAATAAAGTTAAAATATTTTTAAAATAAATGTAGAGCAAATAAAAATTTGAAAATGCACTGAAGTTTGAACTGAGTTTGAACATATTATACATCAAACAAGTATCAACGTCTGGGTGGTCCGCCACTTCGCCCACGTCCACCACCACTTCCACGTGGCCCTCCGCGACCTCCTCGACCTCTAGGACCTCCACGTCCACGACCACCTCTTCCTGGCCCTAAGACAATAGTTAAGTAAAAAATATTTTGTATAATTGATAACTCAACATTGATTTGTTTTAATTTGATTACTTTAGGAGTAATCATATCTTTGAAAAATACAAATACTAACCTCCACGACCTCCTCGTCCACCGCGGTTCATTCGCGATTTGGGTGCATCGTCAACTAACAGGGTTTCAAGAGTAAGAGAGTCAGGTAAAATGTAGTAACGAATGTTGTTACCCCTAATACTAAGTGTTTCATAATGTATAGGTTGTTGGTTTCTTACAGTCATTTTAACAGCTTTAAGGTGAGTATTCATAGCTACATCAACACCTAAAATTATACAAATGGAATACATTTAAGAAAATATTACTAAAAGAAAATAAATAAAATTATTTATGACAACCTAGTTTATATCATATACATATATATATATATATATATATAATGTAATAATTTATTATGTTATTTTTTAGATTTATAAAATAAAAATTGTGGCTTTTAGTATTAAAACTAACAATTATTTCAATATCAGAGTATTTAATAAATGTTCCAAATCATCATTGATTATTTTTAATCTTGAAATAAAAATAATTTAAGATAATTTTAATTAATGCATTTGAATTAACATATAATGTATCTTCTAAAATTGTTATAAGTTGACATTATAATAGATTTCTATCAACATTCTCTTAACTTGAATACTTGATTAAGTACATACATTTTTTTAATAATCTAACATTTTAAGATAAATTTTGGTTATTTTCGCATTTGTTGGCAATATTATCAAATGTTAATATTTGTTGGTGAATTATTGCTAAATTTAACTCTACTACAGTAATATAATCTATTATACACGCTATACATTATACATTAGTCAATTCTGATATAGTTGAAATCAAATAAGTTTTAGCCAATCACAACATTAGTATTCTGAGTATTATTCTGAGTATTAATTTTCAAAATACTTTTTGTCTTACCTGTAATAGTTCCATGAACACTAGTTCCATTTTTAAGTTCTAATGTCACAGTTTCATGACTGAGTTTCATCAAAAATCTGTAACATAAGAAATTTAAAAATTAATGAATTATGTAAAATTAAGTGTAGTAATAATTGTATGTACTAAAAAATAATATGCTCAATAACTATCTAACAATTAATACATTTGTTTTGTTATTTAATAATAAGTAGTTAAGTAATTTTTATATACTGTTCTAAAATAACAACAATAAAATATAAACCACTAGATTTTTAACAAGCCTATAATAATGGCGATTATTAATAACATTTTAAACATATATAGAACACCATATTTTACTTAAATACATATATACTATTTTTTTTCCATTATACATCTAATTCACACATAGAATAGAGATATTCAAACTGTACATCACGACTCCTATTGGCGTCACAAGAGTTTGCGAAGGGCGCCGTGTCAAAGCACTGGAAACCAACTTTAATTTAGGTCTTTTATAATTATTATAAATATTATTGGAAACCATTAAGAAAATGATAACAAAGAGCACCTTTTTCAGTCAGGGAAATATAAAATACAAGATAGGACCTGATACATATTTACATTTATGTAGTAAAGATGAAATTAATATTATTTTAAGTAATGTTTTTTAAATTAGAATATAAACATAAATTATCTGTACATTACTTTTTATCTATTATGTTACAGGTAATACTAATAATATAAGTCTATTAATTACTATTCAGTAAATTAACTTTTAAGTGGGGTTCACATTACACTATGGATTGAAAAGTCGAAAATAATATTCAACTCGTAGGTAATGTGGTGCCAATATTTTCTTACCTATGTATAAAATAATATATTAGTTTAGCAAGGTAACCAATTTTTTTAAGGCATCGTTATAATTTTTAAATTTAAAAAAACTGGTTAAATTATATAACAGTTGTTAAGATATCTATGGGAGACTAGAACCAACACAGATTGATTAGTAAACATAACAGTTATTGAAATATTTTCATGAGGTTATTTATTTGGTTAAGAAAATAGTAATTTCTTGAGCATTTAAATAATGTTAAAAACATTTTATAAACTCAAAACCTCTCAGTAATCAAGTTAGCCCCGAAATCCGAATTATTKAAATAACATACCGGCATCCGCGGCTAAAACCAAACAAACAACTTACTTGACTAATTTCATGTTTACGTCTGAGAAAGTGAGAAAGCTTTGTGACGTGTTCAATTCCAATAATACGCAGTGGATATCGACTCGTACGACTACTACGACTTGTAAGAAAAAACACAAAAGTGAAACAAATTAGATATTAGTAGTGTTTTTGTTTTAGAATCAAAACATATTTGGTCAATTTGGAAAAAGACGGGAAACCGCACGTGATAACTGATGTTGTCAACCGATGATGCCGAAAACCAGGGTAACCACCATCACTGACTTCGAACACGCGAACGATTTCTCACGGTGATACCACAGAATATATGAAATAAATTTCATATATTCTGTGGTGATACACACTGCCTGCGCTTAATAGTTAGCGGGAGTTTTATTTTTCCAATATTGGCAAAACCAATCTCCAGAAATTTGATTTTGATGATATCTCGCTGTTATCGAAATCGGGAAATCTGTACCCAGCCTCCACAGATATATTATATTATTATCCGTGCCCACTGCCCAGACACAGCCTGTACTGCAGCTGTCGCTGTAACGCAGAATAGATTAAATGTTGCTGCTGTTCCTTTCGCGTTCACTCATTATTCACTAACCGATTTGAAAAAAATACATAATTCGTTTCATATTTAAACGTCTATGAAAATTAATTATTTCGTCGTATACTTTATATTCACAGTAAGATACAATATAAATATATTGGTAGTATCAAAAAAATATTGATACTTTGATAGTAATATTGTAATTATAAAAAATTAAATAAGATGTCATAACTATTGAGGGGTGCGCGCCGATACCCTCCCTATACAAATTAAAATATTTTTCTAGAAATTATCCACAACCCCCAATAAAACTTCCCTAGAACGCCACTGCATTATTTCATAACAATGAATAATATATGTTATAAATTCGCATTTCGCTTTTTTCGCGTTTACGAATATTATGAATATACTGATTTGGAAAATTAGTGATTTTATGTATTGTTATAAACTTATTACTATATCAATTTTACTTCTAATACAGAATATTAATTATTCTTTGCGTCTAATAGATGGATAATTAAATCAATATTTGTTAAGAATTTTCATATCGTAAAACATTAGTGCTTAACTAATAATAAGTAGTGCTCCACAGTGGTACAAAATACAATTTTAGTTAGCCAAAAATACTATTTTAAGAAATTCAAAATCATAATCATAACACATTATACAACAAAAATTAAATTTTCAAAAAATAAATTTGATTGTGATAATGAATGAGTTGCCTTTAATAAACTGTTAAAAATTACAGTTATAACAGGACAAAATTTTGAGCAAATTATTTACAGACTCATGACTACAGTAGATTTACCATTTTGTCACACTATAAAAGAATAAAAACAAAACTTAAGTCAGTTTTTATTTATTTTCTACATAAACRCTATAATAATTTTTTCAAACTAATAAAAATGTTTCAACACAATACACTTCTTTATTGTATTGTAAAAATTTGGTTAGGCTATTATGAATTTCTCCATAAGTTTATGCCGCACAGAACCATTTTCACAGATAAATTTATTATGGGTGGTGTTTACTGCATACATGTTTTCAAAAAACATAAAAATAAGAGGAATTATTTGTTTTTAATGTAGGTAATATTCAAGTCAAATAAAATAATTTCTCACAAAAACTAAAAAAGATGCATCTAAGAGTTATGTTACTAGTTTAAAGGTCACAATTTAATATTGTGGGGTTCTATAATTTAAATTAATGTTAAAAAAAATTCAAATGTTTTTATTAGTTTAAATTTATTGTAATTAAAATTCTCTTCTATGATATTTGTCTGGTTCCATGAAAGAAGTAACCACAACTCTGTTATTGAATTTTCGACCTGCCAAAGCTTGTTGTGCTTTTTGACAGTCAGTAATAGCATTGAACTCTATAAACACCTGAAAGACAATATATTTAATATATTTTTTTATTAGAAAATAATAAAATATAAAAATAATACTTTTCCGCAACCAGGCACATCAATTCCTTCAATAGGTCGTGGAATTTCTAGTGAACGAACAACGCCATATTTATTACACTCTTCACGAATATCTTCTAGGATATCTTCATATTCTTCTTCATCTTTTAATTCATCAGGAGTTACCATATTCAGTAAACATAAGACCTGCAAATTATTATGATTTTAAGAATGTTTACTTTGTATGTTATATATATATAAACATTTACCTCAGTTGGAGGTCCTGCAGTTCCCACAACTGTAAGTCCAGGGACTTGAATTGTGACAGGTACTTGACCAAGCCCAGGATTCTTAGCTCCAATACTAGCCCTCTGTACAATTAATTTCTTTTCTCCTAATTGCATACCATTCAAACCAGCAATGGCCTATATTTACAAAAGTTAAATAATAAATATTTATAGCAAACAATGATTAAAAATGTAATATTTAATAGTGAGTAAATGATTTTACCTGATCAGTCATTACTACATCAGCATACTCGCAGAACGCATAACCTTTACTTAAACCAGTGGCAGCATCCTTAACCAAATTGAATGCTTTTAATTGACCAAATGATGTAAGTAGTTCTTTCACCTATTATCATGCACATATATAATTTAAAACATATTATACCCTAATGGATACTAATTAACCTTTAGTAATATTTGTTTAAGACTTCTATAATGTTATTCACTTAATAAACAAAGGTATACAATTAAAATTAAAAAAAAATAGAAAAAAGAATTGATTTATTCAAATCTTAAAAAATATTTTACTTTTTAACCTTTATTTTCAAATACCTAAGTGCACCTTTAATTATTTATTGTAAACCGAAAATAAATTAATAAAATAGTTACTTGTTAAACATTAAACTTATAGGTTATAATTTAGTCTTAAACTAAACTTAATTTACGTTTATTATTAAACCTATTTTACAACTTACTGTTCTTTATGCTTTATGATTATATTGCATAAAGTAKTAATATAGGTATTGATAAAGCAGACTTAATGCTAAATACTCTTTAAGGTAAACTGATGTTTAAAATTTAACTTATTTAGTTTATATTAATATTTAATGATTTATTATTTGTTTATATTAATAATTTAACTCATAACCATTAGCGAAGCATAAAAATTAACTCCAGTTAAACTTAACATGATCAACGAGGAAGATTGTAAATGGTATTGAACATTGTAAAAAGTGTTGATATATTGTATATACATATATATATTTGTATATTGTATTTTATCATAATATCCATTTTATTTGTACTTTATACTATTTAATAAGTTCTAATTAGTAATAATGATAAATATAATAATCTACATTTAAAAAAATATTGTATTTTGATATACCGTTGCTAAAAACATTTATCTCAACAAGTTATTATACTGAGTTACTGAGTTAAAGATTTACCCATAGAAAATAAAGTGGTGATGGAAACTGCCCAAGTGGTCATGAGTTAACTATTAAATAGTTAATTTGATGATATTTATTTTCAAGTAAAATTCCTAAAATATATTTTATTAATACCAAAAATCCTCCAATTAAAGATTTTACTTTGAAATCTCATTTTTAAATATTTTTAAGAAAATTAATTATTGATTATTTGCTATTATTACTTATTACAAGTTATCAACTCATTATTACATTTTAAGTTTATTTTAAATATTATAGTACATAAAGACAGATATTTATTTTTGTTAGTTATATGTATATTATTCAAAGAAGCATAAGAACAATTTAGTCCCTATGACACATAAGTACATAACCAATGTAATATTCTGAAACACCACTTGCCTGTATGCCGATTTGGACAGACGAAGTAGTTCAGAGTTTCATTTTCAACCAAGTACTCTAGCTAAGGGCAAGGGGTATAGCAGAGGAACAATAATTAGATTTTTACTGTTTCATTAAAATTTCTCAAATTTTTTTTTTTTACTTACATTTGTTTTCAGACAGAAAGAAAAGTAAATGTATCACAAGCATAATGAAAAGTCAATAAAAGACTGGCAAGGAGAATCCATGTTCTTACGGCGACCCTAAATAAATACCCCAGGTCCCTGCAAATCTAAACTGTTATATTTTAATACACAAAACAAGAACATATTTTCTAAAAAAATAAAAATAAAATAAAACTTGAAATGTATGTGCTAAAAATTAGCACTATTTTTACATCTTCTCAAACCAAGTTTTTGTATTGACCTAATGTACCTCTGCTAATGATGGACTACTATGCTAAAAATATTGGAATGGATATTTTACTACTGAAATGACTTACCTGTTCATCATTAAGGTATGCTGGTAATCCTCCAATAAATATTTTGTGTGGTGAATCTAAAAATGAAAAAAAAATAAAAAAGATGTGTAAAAACATTAAATTATAATATGTATTAAAGGCAAAAAACAAACCTGGAACTGTTCCAATACCAAATGAACTGGAATCATATTTCACTATAACAAAAAATTTTACCATAATTTATATTTTGATCCCAAAGAAAATAAATATTCACATACTCATATCTAATGTCATTCCAGAATTATAGTTGGTTACTGGATTACTCTCGGTCATTCCAGGTGTTGGTTGATAATCATGTGGTCGTCTTATTTTTAAGCTCTGGCCTTTGAAATTAATACCATCAAAAGCCATTGCTTGCGTAGTCTCATCAATAGACCTAAACTATAGTTGAATAATTGAATGAAATTTAAATTTCCATTGAAATTTTTAATAGCATTACATTAAAACTTTACATACCTCCAAAAATGCAAAATTTTTATCTAAATTAATTTGACACGCAAGCACTGGATTACCAGCAGCTTGAGCTAATCCAGATAAATGCATTTGTTGATTAAAGAACTCCATCATTTCATCCTTTATATTCATATAAAAAATATGAGAATTTGTAGAAATTAATAATAATTAGTAATGATGGCAATACCTCAGTTACGCCAAATGGTATGTTTCCAACATACAATCGTCTAGCTTGGCGTGTAATTGTAGATCCAACAACAGGGACAGCTGTTTGAGGGGTATCTGGCATTGTATTCGCTGGAATTTGTCCAGCAGCTAAACAAAAAATTAAATTAAATAAATGTTATTTAATATTTAGAAATCTACTTAAAGTAAACAACACACAAAAATGTTCTGAATAAGTAAGTATACATAGGATTATTTTTGTTATAAAAATATAAAATAAATTGTATATAATAATCAATGATATATGTATATAGTTACTTTATGCGATCCATGTTTATGGCAAACATCCTCAATAAAGGGGGAAAAGTATCTATATAACATTATATATAACTTCTTTAATTTTATGTATATTGCTTGCTTTTAACATTTTTAAATATGATTTTATTACAAGATGACAAATTAATTAATTTAATATTTAAGATGGTTTATAATTTATTATATATGAATGTAATTTATACATGCAACTAATAATAAACTCAAACTGGCATCGCATATTATATAATTTCATACAATCCAGTATGTAAGAAAACAGGGCGATACACATGTGTGAATTAGGACAATAACATGGATCATGTTATGTATAGGTACTTTTAATTCTTATACTAGGCATGGGTTATATCTATTAGATTAATATTATTTTAAATTTAAGAAGTGATCCCACCAATAACAAGCAACTATAGAACTTTGATTCTTTCAATTTTGTATGTATTAAAAAATTAAAATGAATGTATATGGTTAGTTAAATATTATATCTTACCTTGCATGGCTTTATATTGAAGTGGTGCAATATGTTCAAAACCTGGAGGAGGAACATCCCAATAGAGAGATGGCTTTCTACGTCTAGATTTATTTTTAGGTGACTTAGATCTACTACGTTTACGTCCTTCGCGGCTCCTTGATCTATGTCGGCGATGTCGTTCGCGATCTCTAGATCGTGAACGTCTCCGTCTTTCACCACGTTCTTTATCACGTTCTCCTCTTTCTCCCCTGTCTCGTTCCCTTTCTAAGTTACATGAACATAATGTAAGTTTATTAGAATAACAAAAATATACTAAATTTCTGGTATTAAGTATAATACTAGCACCAACCTTTGTCTTCACCCATTACACTATGTTTAAAGTTATATTATTATATAATGAAAAATTGTAAATAATTTGTAACTGATAAATACTGAATGCAGAAGCACTAAATATAGGAAGAAAGTAAACCGACTAAATTAATAATATTGTTTACATGAACTCGTGAGTCGTAAATCGTGTTTTGTTATACGGCTCATATACTGAATATCTAATGAGTTTACTTGAAACTTCACTCCCAAGTCACAAGAGTGAAGAGTCAAGAAGAAGAACAACAACTTACAACAAATACCTAACAAAAAAAAAAAATTCACTTTACAAGTTCACAATAACACCGACTTTGAGAGATTTTAGGGGAAGATCGAAAATGCATGTGTACCAATATTGAAATATAAAAATCCCATTTTTATCCCCCAAATTTTTATTTCACTTTCAAATTCAAATGTTATTGTATGAGTGGCTACAAAAAATAAGTACCTACTATTTTTTTTCCCATATAGTTAGGGATTAAGGAGTTCCAGATCAAAGACTCAGAAGACTTTTATGATAACACTATACAAAGTGGATTCAAAAAGGAAATATAGTCTTAAATCTCAATAAGAAAAGGCTCTTGCAGTAGAGTCACTGAACTAAATATTTAGTGGGTAGGGTAGAGTACGCAGGATTATAGGTCGATTAGATTTTACCAATAAGATTAATCACAGACCCACGGGGGGAGAGATTTATCACCATTTACATTATTTTTAGCTTAACAGTTTTTATATAATTGATTTAAACAATTTTCAAATCTCGTAATAAACGTGGTAATAATCGATAATACGATTATGGTATAAACCACATTTATCAATGTTCTACTCATGAATTAAGACATAGGTATATTTTAATTAATTAATCTAATTAATACATCAACCAAATTAAGACTGAAACTATGATTCTCGATATTAGCGCCATTTAAAAATTGAAAATTGTTTGTATATTTTAAAATACTCATAAATAGCTTTAAAATTAAAATATAGTAAAAATCTCATGAGATGCCCGAGATAATAATCTTACCATTAATTTTCATAAGAAGTCAATTCACTCTAATTTTTAAGCTAACGGAGCTAAACTTGACCTGTTGAGCATAACATTTGTTGTTATGCACTTGTGAGACAGAGACAACACATGCGGGTATAACGTCCTATTAAAAATGATTAAAAATTTATCACTCTGTCTATTGATAAAGGTGGTATAAGTTTTTTTTGCAGTGGAAAGACATTTCAGTTATGGTTAGAATCTGAGAACGGCTATAGAAATTATTTCTCAGATGCTACTGATGCTGCATAAGTGCATGGCAGGATGACACCGACACGTGACTATTTGTGGATGACAATCGCGTTGAAGTATCGAACTCAAAAGTTTGTTTTACCGAAACTTTTTTACTTTACCGGATAAAGTATTTATTTTTTTTTAAATTTTGCAATGATGACCAATAGAATATACGATAAAAGGCATTTCMGTCAAACAGATACATAATTGTATATCCGGTGTTATAGTTAATACTATTTAGTAATTATATTATTGAGTATCGATCAACTTAAATAAACATTCACGCACCCCGTAGGTAGACTACGATTAATTAAAATATTTTAATATTATGCGTAACTACTTATTAAAATTGCCTATATTAAACCCCGTAAATGTCTTTTTATGTGATACATTATAGTATTCGGTGAAACTCGATTGAGCACGGTCCTTATTTTGAAACAACCCGATTGAGCACGGTCCATATTTATTAATAACCCGGTTGTTGCACAGTCAAATGAACGCAACATTGCCAATTTTTCTGTCCGACTACAACCAGGTTACAMGCGCATTTTGAAATACTCATAAACATACAATCGTAGTTGATGCGTCACAGAAAGACATGCGAATATGCGATATGATCAAGTGACCAAAAGGGGTATAATTTTATATGATATAAAGAAAATCAAGAAATGCATACGGGAGGAGTGTGGAAAACCAACCCGCGAGGTCCGAATACACACACACTATATGGCAGCAATAAAATAACAATCGATAAGATATTTTTTGACTTTTATATAATATGCTTTGATGGTACCGGAGTAACGGACATATTCGCGTTAGAACAATTATTATTTTGCTGTGTGGGACGGCAACGTTGTGCGTATTTTTATGCTCAATCGTGTTATATTTTGCCATTTTGGATATCTATTGTTTAATTGTATCTGTGCTCAATCGAGTAATGAAAAAGGTTAACTGTGCTCAATCGAGTTCCAGCCATACTATTATACGTACCATCCGTTCATCTAATTTCTCATGCATTATACAAAATTGTAAAACAGAATTTTCCTATTTATTCATACAAAATGCAATCTGCAGGTTTTAAAACTATCTTGTTGACTATTATTTTGGTATAAGTATAAAAAATATAAAATATAATAGGTATAATTTGAATCTAGGAAAAATTACCGGGGGAAGAAATACCCACGGAAAAATGCCCTGTAAAAAATGGCCGAGGAAATAGGTAATACCCGAAAGAAAAAATACCCTAAGGAATAATACCCGATAGAAAAAATACCCTAGGAAATAATACCCAATGGAAAAAATATCCAAGGAAATAATACCCATATCTGACATAAATACTCGAAAAAATAATTATATTGTATTGTTATAGTAAAATAATAATAATTTGGCAATTTGTATAAAACAATAAATAAGTATTAATAATTATTAATGTCACAATAAAAATAAAATGTTGACCACTCATTGTAGCTCTCAGATACAAAAGCGGTAGAGAGTAAAGAACTGACTGACAGACGATAGCACAAAATACAACTAAATAGGTAGTAAAATAGAGAAAATATAACTGATAGGTACATAATACATTAGATAATTAGGATATACCAAGTTTATAACATTACGAGATTACAAAGGTGTAATAGGTACCTATATAATAGTATAGAACATATATAAAACGGAAAAAACTGTAATTTMAAAGTAGSAAATTATTATTTTTGTGTATTGATACGATTATAATAAGAGTATTCAGTATACAATTAAATATAGTAGAAAAAGAGAGTAAAATCGCCGATATCATATAAATTTCGTGTATGCTATCGTAAGAGATCAATTATTATCGTTAGTTGAATTCCGATACTATATATATTTTTTTTAATTGTACATATACCCTCGGAAACATAGGCTATTAGGCTTAAAGTGACACGATAATATTATTTTGCAATGGTTGTGTATATCATTTGAATAATATTTTAATTTCTTTTTTACGAGTTGGGACTTTAATTGTAAATAATTATAAATATAATATAATATACCWCTATATACCTARGTCTGATTTTTTTTAACCATTATTATGTAATTTTTCTGAATAGAAATTATCACCTTTGCTTTTATATTATTTATTATAAATAAATTATTAAATTATTATATTATTTTCATGGGTATTATTTTTTCCTCGGGTATTTTTTTCCAATTACCGTATAATTTCTATTATGATGGTGTAAATTGTTATAAAGAATAACTTATAATGTGATAAATATATTATACATTTAAAATGTAATATTATTTTTTATTTCATTATCTTTTAATAAAGGCCACATAATAACTGTTTATTTAAAATACACGGATTAGGCCTCATAATTAAATAAACATGGATATTTCTTTAAGATTCAAGTTTAAAGTTTAATCGTATTTGAGCATTTTTTAAAACTTATTTTAACTGTTATTTAAATCCAAATTCAATATCTAATGACAGATTTAATATAGCTGTTATTAAAACCTATAGCTAAATGCCTAAAGAGGTTTAAAAGCCAAAATATAGTTTTGCCTGCCCCGGCAAAAAAATTAGTTTTTTTTATTAAAACATTTCAACACTGAGAAATAAATTTAAATTTTTTATAAATTTATATAATATGGACAAAAATTGTGTTTGAAATTATAATGATAATAAACCAAAAATAAAATATATCATATTTTTTTGTTTTTACCATTATTTTGATACAAAATATCAAATGAAGGTAAATATTTTCAGTTGGTAGTAATTTTATTGCTCTAGTTAGCTTAACAGATAAACTTTTATTTATAAAYGTAATTTTATTTAAAGAACGTCATATTGGTATACAATGTATATTGTATATATTGATATTAAATAATATTTTACAGTTTGAGAACACCAATTCATCAAATTAATATTTGATACTTAAGGGTATATTACTTACTGTTTATATCTTATGTGACTATATAATCGTTGAAACTATTGAACAAAATTACAACTTAAAAAAGGATATATAAATTCAATTATGATGTAGTTTTAATGTTTCGTAAAAAATGTATGTACAAGAATTATAAATAAGATAAAAAAAATCATCACAATATTGTATTAAAAATAAAAATGCAACTTATACTTAATCATTTGTAATATTTAAAAAATGTTTCAAAGATTTATAAAAATTTTAAGCAAAAATACTTATCTAGTATGGCACATTATTTTTGAAATCAAGTGCATAGGTTTTAAATATAAGTTGGTATTAATGTATTATTTAATCAATGTTTAATAACAGGAATATTAAATTGCTATAAATAATCACTAATAATAGATTAATACCTAGAAACCTAATATCTAGTACTTGATAGATACTACTACGTCATGAATATGGATATTTTTTTACTCATATTCTCGCAAACAAAACGTAAGTACCTAGAAAATTTTGTATTTTTGTTGCCTAKGTAAATCTTTGAAACATTTTTCAAAATGTAGACTAATTTTAATCTAAAATAAATTTAAATACTTAATTAACTATTATGATAATATTAAACTAATACATTTAGATTGAGCTAATTATACATTATTATTTGAAATTTTGGTTCATAAAATTAATTTCATTAATCAGTAAGTACAGGGGCTAGACTCGTTTGCCAATTTAATTTAGGGCCGAGTTTATTACACATTGGAATTTTCCTATTTTTCTCACATTTCTTAGATTTTTCCCAAAAGCTCTGTCCTTCAGGACATTGAAACATTTGACCTATAACAGATAACATATATTACGTAGAAAAATGTATCGAGATTACCAATAAAATGTATGTTAAATATTTTACCACTGAGAATTCCTTTAGCATCTCTATTGCATTTTAYAAAAGTCTGGCAATCAGTTGGAGAACCAAACGTTCCTTCTGATGGACATAACTGCTGGTAAGGTTGAATCTGGACCTATTTAATGTGAACATAAACACGTTTTAATGTAAGCATATTTGAAAACCCAATTATAATAACTTACAGTTGGTAGTATTTCTTCACGAGATTCTAACCGGCGTACATCAATTGATGGACATGATTCGGATTCATCTGGTGGTAAACATTGAGTTTTTCTTTGGTCATAAAACGTGCCATTTGAACATGCGAGGACCAATACTTTTATGTCATTATTAGCTGCTATTGTACATTGATAAAATAGATTACAATCTTTTGGATGTCTTCTAAAACCTGTTGGACACACTAATGAAACTTGATCAGGTTCTAAAGTTGGACAATTATCTGTAGAGTTTGAAGTTTCTGGAGAAGTTGTTGTGGCGGGTAAMGTTTCTGTTGACGGTTGATTTGTTTCAGAATCTGTTGTTTCTGTTTGACTTGTTGAAGGTGGATTTGTTTCTGTCGGATTAGTCGTTGGTGGGTTTGTTTCGGACGGACTTGTCGTTGGCGGATTTGTTTCCGATGGATTAGTCGTTGGTGGATTTGTTTCTGATGGACTCGTTGTGGGGGGGTTTGTTTCTGTGGGGCTCGTCGTTGGTTCTGTCTCAATAGTCGTGGATTGATTTGTTTCGGTTGGACYTGTCGTAGGTGGATTCGTTTCTATTTGATTAGTTGTAGTCTCAGTTGGATTTGATGGTATCGGATCAGTTCCTGTTGGATTAGATGTAGTAGATTCTGTTTCAGGTATACTTGAAGTTGGTTTTGCTTCTGGTTCATTCGTTTCAGACGGTCCTGTAGTTTCACTGGGATCRTCAGTTGTYACTGTAGTACTTGCTTCAGTGGTAGTAGCTTCAGTAGCAGGGGTACTAGTTCCATGATTTTGCGGAGTACTTGATCCAGAACAATCTCTAGGAGGGTATACAGAAGCTTCGTGATTACATACGTTTAGGCTAGGATCAAAAATTGTTCCTTCAGGACAGTCGAAGTGGTACACAGAAAATCGTTCACCTTTATCACCGTCCCAATCGACACATCTATAGAACTTTTTACAATCATCTGGATGAGGGAAAAATCCACTTCCATTACACACTATTTTGCTAGGTGGCTTTGGTGAAGTATTACAAGGGGCAGTCGAATTATTGGATGAAATAACCGTTTGACTTATGGTTGAAGATGTTTGTTGACTAGAACTAGATGTTGAAGTTTGGGTTTGAGTAGTTTGACTACTTATTGATGTCGGAGGAGAAGGACTAGTAGACAATGCTGTAGATGTTTCTGGGTTACTAGGTTGACTTGATATTGGATTTTCAGAACTATTAGATACAAATGATTCTGTTGATCCAGCTGTAGACGACGAACTTGATTTAGAACAATCTCTATCCACTGCCCATGGATGATTACATACATTATTAACATGATCCCAAACAGTTCCTGGCCCACAATTAAAGTTATATTTAGTAAATCCTTTTCCATTATCTACACATCTATAAAATTTGTTACAATCTTTAGAATCTGGGAAAAATCCTTCTGCAGCACAAGTGTCTGTTGTAGATGATGGTTCGGTAAGTGGCTTTTTCGTAGATTGCTGACTTATTGGTTTAATAGTTGTTGATGATTGAGGTTTATTTGTGGAAGCAACCGTTGTTGGTTTTACTGTTGGTTTCGAGTTCACAGGTTTAATGGTTGTTGTAACTGTTGGTTTTGAATTTGATTGAGTGATTGGTTTAGAAGTTGGAGTGTTTTGCGTTGGTCTTTTAGTAGGTGCTTTAGTGTCTTTTTGTGTAGTAGTTGCTGGTAAAGTAGGTGTCGACCGAGTTGTTGTTGTGGATTTTTGTGTAGTACTTGAAATGATTGGTTTTTGAGTGGTTGGTTTTGAAGTAGTTGGTTTTTGAGTAGATGGTTGTGAAGTGGTTGGTTTTGGAGTTGTTGGTTTTGGAGTTGTCGGTTTTGGAGAAGTTGGTTTTAGAGTTGTCGGCTKTGAAGAGGTTGGTTTATTGGTAGTAGGTTTTGGAGTTGACGATACTGGTGGTTTTTTCGTTGTATTAATAGGCGTTGTTGGTTTTAAGGTCGATGACATTGGTGAAGTTGGTTTATTTCCAGAATTATTTATTTGTTGATTAGATCCAGCACCAGTTGTTTGTTGGTTAGATCCAGCACTAGATGTTTGTTGATTGAGTACAGCACTATTTGTTTGTTGATTTGAACCAAAACCAGTTGTCTGTTGGTTAGATCCGCCACTATTTGTTTGTTGGTTAGCTGCGGCACTAGTTGTCTGCTGGTTAGCTGCGGCACTAGTTGTTTGTTGGTTAGCTCCAGCGCTAGTAGTTTGTTGATTGAGTACAGCACTATTTGTTTGTTGATTTGAACCAAAACCAGTTGTCTGTTGGTTGGATCCGGCACTAGTTGTCTGTTGGTTGGCTGCGGCACTAGTTGTCTGCTGATTAGCTGCGGCACTAGTTGTTTGTTGGTTAGCCGCGGCACTAGTTGTTTGTTGGTTAGCCGCGGCGCTAGTTGTTTGTTGGTTAAATCCAGATGTGGCAGCTTGATTAGAACTAGAAGAAGCAGATTGTTGATTTGTACTAGAACTTCCAGCCTGATTTGAACCTTGATTCATAGCAACTGTTGTTAAAGAACCATCTTGAGATGAAAATTGTTGGTTAAATCCTCCATTTGTTTGGCCAGCAACGACAGCTGAAGTTGAAAACTGGCTACTAGAAGAACTACTAGAACTTGAACTCGAGCTAGACATCATGGATGAATTAGATGTCACTGAACTAGACCATATGTTGGCTGTAGTTATTTGCTGTGCCACAGTAGAATCTGATTGTATTGTGGAAGGTGTAGCTGACGTCGTAGTTCCACAATTTACTAGATTCGCATGATTGCATGTTTGTTGACTATCATCCCATAAAGTTCCTTCACCACAGTCGAATTCGTATTTRGTAAAAGTCCCATCACCTTTGTCCACACATCGTATGAATTTTTTACTACAACCTTCATTGTATGGATGGAATCCTTCTGACACACAATTTGGTCCATTAGAACTAGTTTCTTCTGTTTGTTCAGGTAATTCGTTATCTACTTCATTTTCAGGACTTTCTGATGATGATTGTTGATTGTAGCCATCTTCTGGTTGAACAGGAGGTGCATAAGTC